CGAAATGTCAGCTTTCCTGCTCCTCTGGTGCTGCCTGGCCTGCTGTGTTCATCCAGCTCTATACCTTGTTATCTGCACTCGTCAGATTATTGGCTTTTCTCACCTGATCAAAGTTAGCAGAAAGCTGTGGGCCTAGCCGAAGAGCCAAGTACCACCAAACCTCTAGTTTGGCAAGGCCCAAAATCTCCGTTCTTACGTGAATGGAACTCAGTGGCTGCATGAGCAACCGGAGTCGCTTGGCACTGCAAAGTATATCTGCACAATAAAGGAAAATTCAATATAAAATAAAACAAGAAGAATGGAAAAAAATTAAGGAAAATATTTTAAATAATTCTCTTCCAACAAAGCAAAGAGATTCCTGAACATTTAACTTCTTGCTCCCATTTCCTTTTCATCTTTTCCCTGTGCCACACAACCTACCAACATGTGAATGAACTAGAGTTGTGTCAAGGACTGTATTAATATTGTTTCTACTAAGGGAGGAATATTGCTCAGTCGAGATCAGGGATTGCAGGTAAAAAGGAAAGATGACCAAGAAACTTTCATACGAAGTAGCATTCACATCGCAGTGTCAGGCAATGATCTTCTCCAAGAGATAACTAAATATCTCCACGTTACATTCAATGGCATTACCATTACTGAACCTCTATTGTCAACAATCTGTTGTTTACCCTTGATCAGAAACTGAACTGGATCAGCCTTATAATAGAGGTTACAAAAGTCGCAAGTGCTCCTACAAGCCACACACCATCCTGACATGGATAGACAACTGCCTTTAGTAGCAAAAGCCCAGATGTTGTTTAGGCCATGCAGCATATGGAAATGGTGCACTTCAGAACTGGAGGAGTTACGAATGATGCTAAACAACTACCATGTCTGGAAATAGCAAGAACTCCAGATGCTGGAGTCAGAGTCAATACAGTGTGGAGCTGGAGTAACACAGGTGGTCAGGCAGCATCAGAGGACTTTCCTGCTCCTCTGATGGTGTCTGACCTGCTGCGTTCCTCCAGCTCTACTCTGTATTAACTGCCATGACTGTGTATGTGTACACTTCTGATGGTGAGGTGGTCATTGTTGAAGTAGCTGAAGATAGTTGGGCCTTGGACATTAACCTGAAGAACCAGGAGCCTAGTGGTATTAAAGCTCGTCTTTTTAATCCAGAAACCCAGATAATGTTCTGGGGACTGAGCTTCAAATCTACCAAACACCAATGGTAGATTGATTGGCTTGTGATTTAAGGACTCCAGAGACAATGTCACTACTCCTGAACCAGAAGGTCTGGCTTCAAATTCCATCTGCTCCAGAGGTGTCATAACATCTTGGAACAGGTCAAATAGGAAAATACCTAACCTGTAGAAATGCTGCAGTGATGTCCTGAACTGAGATGACTGACGTCCAACAAACTCAAAACACCTTCCTTTGTACTCAGTCTGACTCCAAGCAATGCAGAATGGTTTCCTGCCCCAAAGCCTTATTAATATTACAGAGGCTATTTAATCTTAAAAAGTTGACTTCGGTTTTACTAGGACAGCTTGATGCCACACTCAACCAAATGTTGTCTTCACTGTACCTCACCTCTTGCGTTCAACTCTTTTGCTCATATTTGATTCGAGACTGTAACAAGGGGAGCAGCAGAATGGCCACGATAGAACTCGACGCAAGCATCAGTAGGTAGGTTATTGTTGAGCAACTGTCACTTGATACAACTATTGATGACCCTTCCCATTATTTTTTAATGATTTTGAGTAGACTGCTGTGAAAGTAATTTAGCATGTTGGATTTACCTCACTTTCAGTGGACATTTCTTTTCAAAGTGCCATCATTGGTTATCACAATAACCAATGACATCCAGTTCTCTCTCATGATCAGCTCTCCAGGTTCCTTCATTGTTGTTAAATCATCAGACATCCAGGATTTGCAGAACCTCCTTGCCAATTTAAATATTGGCAAGACCAAAATAACTGTTATCAGTCCCTGCACTAAACTCCATCCCTTGGTTGTCAATCCCATCCTTCTCAACACCAACAGCTCTGAGATTATGCCAGATCATTCATAACACTGATGTCACATTTAATCCCAAGATAAACTTCTGACCTCTCATTTGTAGAACGTGAGTGTGCCTATTTCAGTACCAAAACATCATCCAATTCCACCCATCTCAGCTCATCTATGAAAATCCTCATTTGTTTTCTTACATCTAGACTTGACTATTCAAATGCACAAATATCCACTAAAGCATAATCATGATTTTACAATTCTCATTCATGTTTACAAATTCTCATTGTCCTCACACCTCCAAATCTTTGAGTCCTACTCCAGTCCAACAATTATGCAATGTCTGCACTCTTCTGATTCTTCTCTCCTGTGCACAATCAATTTCAATTGCTCTATCGTTGGTTGACATGCATTTCGATTCCTGCACCCCAAGCTCCAGAATGCCTCTTTATCTAGCTTTCCTCCTTAATATATTTCTTAAAATGTACCCATTTGGCAGGCTCATAAACAATAATTAATATCACCTCCTGAGGCTTCGTGTCACTTTGTCTTATGATGCTCCTGCACTTAAGCAGTTGAAAATGTTTCCCCATAATAAAAAGGCACTACAACCACATTGAAAAGGAGAACTCGAGTCCAAATGCACTTACAGCACCTTTTGCTGTCAGAAACTCGAGTCAGAGTCTGTGCTTGGCTCGTTTTTTATCCTCCTCAAATAAAAAGGGTATTTGCTGAGGAATAGCCTACTGTGCATGCTGGTTAAGGGAGGCAAGTCAAAGAAACAATGAACAAAAACAGAAGTCAGCATGGATTTGTGAAGCGTAGGTCATGCCACATAAACCTTATTGAATTCTTTGAAGAGGTGACCAAACACGTGGATGAAGGTAGAGCAGTGGATGTGGTATACATGGAGTTAAGTAAGGCCTTTGGTAAGGTTCCCCATGGTAGGCTCAGGCAGAAAGTAAGGATGCTTGGGATAGGGCGAAAATGTGGCAGATTGGATTCAGAATTGGCTGACCCTTAGAAGACAAAGGGTGGTACTGGACGGAAAATACTCAACATGGTGCTCAGATACGAGTGGTGTACCACAAGGATCTGTTCTGGGTCCTCTTCTATTGGTGATTTTTGTAAATGATTTGGATGTAGGAGTGGAAGGGTGGATTAGTAGGTTCGCAGATGATACGAAGGTGGGTCGAGTTGTGGATAGTGTGGAGGGCTGTTCTAGGTTACAAAGGGACATTGATAGGATGCAGAGCTGGGCTGAGAAGTGGCAGATGGAGTTTAACCCTGAAAAGTGTGAGGTGATTCATTTTGGAAGGACAAATTTGAAAGCAGAATACAGGGTTAACGGAAAGATTCTTGTCAGTGTGGAGGAGCAGAGGGATCTTGGGGTTCCACAGTTCCCTGAAAGCTGCCACCCAGGTGGATAGAGTTGTTAAGAAGGCGTATGGTGTGTTAGCATTCATTAATAGAGGGATTGAGTTCGAGAGCCATGAAGTTATGCTCCAGCTATACAAAAGCCTGGTTCGCCCACATCTGGAGTATTGTGTACAGTTCTGGTCACCTCATTACAGGAAAGATGTGCAAGCGTTGGAAAAGGTGCAGAGGAGATTTACCAGGATGTTGCCCGGAATGGAGGGAAGGTCTTACGAGGAAAGGTTGAGAGCGCTACGGCTTTTCTCTTTAGAACGACAAAGGATGAGAGGTGACTTGATAGAGGTGTACAAAATGATCAGAAGTACAGAAAGAGTGGACAGCCAGACTTTTTCCTAAGGTGGAGGTAGCTATTACGAGGGGGCATTGTTTTAAAGTGAGTGGAGGTAGATATAGGGGAGACGTCAGAGGTAGGCTCTTTACCCAGAGAGTGGTAGGGGCGTGGAATGCATTGCCAAAGAGGGTAGTGGATTCGGCCTCATTAGGGGCATTTGAGCGCCTATTAGATAGGCATATGGATAATAGTATAAGGTAGAAGTGGAGGTTAGATAGACCTTAGGTTTAGGGTAAAAGTTCGGCACAATATCGTGGGCCGAAGGGCCTGTACTGTGCTGTACTGTACTGTTCTATGTTCTAAGATGCTGGAAAAGCTCAGCAGGTCTGGCAGCATTTGTGAAGAAAAATTTTTTTTTTTCTTTCTTCATTCACGGGATGAGGGCGTCGCTAGTCAGGCAGCATTTATTGCCCATTCCTAATTGCCCAGAGGGCAGTTCAGAGTTAACCACATTGCTGTGGGTCTGGAGTCACACGTAGGCCAGACCAGGCAAGGACGACAGTTTCCTTCCCTAAAGGACATTAGTGAACCAGTTGGGTTTTTCTGACAATCGACAATGGATTCATGGTCATCATTAGATTCTAAATTCCAGATATTTTACTGAATTCAAATTCCACCATTTGCCGTGGCGGGATTTGAACACAGGTCCCAGAACGTTGCCTGGTCTCTGGATTAACAGTCCAGCAAAAATACCACTAGGCCACTGCCTCCCCTAATGCCTCCATAATAATGAATTGTCTTCTGAGGAAGGGTCACTGGACCCGAAACGTTAACTCTGATTTTTTTCTTCAGAGATGCTGCCAGACCTGCTGAGCTTTTCCAGCAACTTCCGTTTTTCTTCCCGATTTACTGCATCTGCAGTTCTTTCGGTTTTCAAAGAAACGGTTCGCAAAATACCTGCCCATTCATACTCATAAACAGTTAACTTATCAAAAAAAAATCAAAACATATAAGCAAAGCATTTTAACTGTATCAGTACTGATCTATTTCTCAAAGTAATGGATTAAGCTGGTCTTCACATACCAGAATTCAATGCAAAATTATCGATTAAGCTTTTCCAAGCAATGAAAGCTATTTTCTTCACAACTGGAGAGCCACTGCGAAAGCCCAATTCCTCCAAATGCAGTAGGGAATTAATGAAACTTCCTCCACGGTGCAATGACTTTCCAGGAGAATTAAGAAGAAATAAATTTAACTGTGGGTTAATCTGTGTTGCAGGTTTGACAACTTAGTGAACAAAATGGATGACATTTTGTAATCTCCATTACACTAAACATACAAACACAATCTATATTTTAAATATATAAATGAATTGACCAAAATAACTGAATGGGAAAGCTATGGAAGAGGCTGGTTCTTGACCTCATACCTATTCCAGACATGGATTTCAAAGTTGCAAATGCAGGAAAAGGACATGCAATTAACAGCTTAATAGTTAATAGCAGAGATGAAGGTGCTTGTGGCTCTTTGTTATCAAGATCTTCTTCCTCACTTACTTAAATGGACAGGAGTAATGTCACTGGATACATAATCCAGTTGTCAAAACTAATGCTCTGAAGGTAAGAGTTCAAATATTGAAGCAGCTGGGAAGAATTTAAACCTAATTAATAATTCTGAAATAAAATGCTATGTTCAATAAATGATTATCATGGGACTACCAGATTGCTGTAGAAACCCAACTAGTTTGCTGCCATCTATCAGGGAGAAAATCTACCATCCCTACTGGATCCGGGCTACAAAAAACTGCAGAGTCATAGCAATATGTTACTGACTATTAATGGACTTCTGAAACTATGTTGCAGTTATATCAAACCCCTTCAGAAAAAAGTACTACTGGCCTTTCTTCAGAAGCTCACATCCCAAGAATAATAATGAACTTTAGCGGGGGAAAAAAATGGCACTGCCACTGGTTCAGTGTTTTTCTCTAACATCTTGGTCTTTAGTACAAGGGAACTGGAGTACAGGAATAAGGACATCTTGTACAATGGTACACGGATTTTGAGAGACCATACCTGAGGTACTGGGTGTAGTTTTAGTTTCCATATTTAAGAGGGATATACTTGCATTACAGGCAGTGCAACAAATGCTCATTAGACTGGATCCTGAGATTAGGGGTACATTTTATGATGACAGGAAAGTAAATTGGGCCTATACTCTAGATTTTAGAAGAAAGAGGAATGATCTCATTGAAGCATTCATTACTTTCAAGGGGCTTGACAGGATAGGCACAAAAAAAAAATCGCTTTTCCTGGTTAGAGAAACGAGAACATCTAGGCAGAGTCCCAGAATATGGACTGTACATTTAGGACTAAGAACAGTAATTCTTTCACTCAGAGGCTTGTGATTCTGTGGCATTCTCTACCCCAGTGGATTATGGCTGTTCATCTTGAAAATGTTCCAAGTTGAAGAATGAACGGACAAGGGGACACATGGAATGGAGCAGTAAACCAGTGAGGAGAGGCTCCATGGTCAACTCCTTTCTTGTGACTTTGATAATCTAGAGAAATATACATGGACTCCAGAAATTAACAGTTTTAAACAATATAACTGTACAATTGAAAATGTAACTTTTTTTATCATCTTTTTAGAGGCAATTCCCTGGATAATTTTACCTTTCCCAGAAGTTTCACAAAGAGGGGCCACAATTTCAACACGTAAGTTTCATTTTTTGTTGTGAAAAGTTTCTGTAGCTCTGGAATCATTTTCTGAAATGGAATAAAATATTTTAGAAGTCATGACTGCACCCTTCATCTTTTTAAAAAGGAAGGAATGAAGAAACAAGAAATGCTTTTGCTGTATCAACTTGTTGCCCCACAAAATGAGGCAAAGGCATAGGCCTGCATCTTTGCCTTCCAAAATGGTAAATTCAACAGCTCAGCAGACAGGATCTGATCAGCAAATGCAATTCCCCTGTACTGAATCTGATTTACCCACAGCAGGCTCCCTTAAAACAGCACTGTAATAAAGGCTGGATTTTATTTTTAAATACACATGAAACTTGATTTTGATTAAGAAATAAATGATTGATTACAAAACCAGACAAAATTCTCAAGGTCCTTTGAACTATTGCCATGGATTTTATTCATCCACACTTGAGGGCAGAAAAGGCTCAGCATAATACCTCATCTGAAAGATAGCACCCAAAACAACCATGTCTGGGACTACATCCCCTGTTACTGATGATTATCCACCTGGATCAACGCTCAAGTCTCTGGACTTAAGACTTGAACGCACAACCCTCCAACTCAAGAGGCAAGAGTATCATCACCGAGTCACAGTTGACAGAGGCATACAGGTGTGCCAAACAGACATGCCAAATAGTTAAGATGATAAAATGGGACATGCAGGAGTGTTTGCTGTGGATTGACACTCAAAGCAGACATTTAATAGGCATTCACAAATGAAGAAAACTTTAAAAATGTTTTGACATTCCAAGTTAATCACTTAGCTTAAGAAATTTTGATTAAAAGCCAAAGTCGCAATGGCAAGGATTCTCGCTCTCATACTTACTGAGATCATTAAGGGCTCAATTATGCCTGCAACTTCGTGCTGTTTTTGAAGGAAAAGTGGTAGGCTCATTTCTAGAGCTGTTGCTGCCCGTAACCGCACTTTGGGGGCTGAATGAACTACAAGAGGAAGTATTAGCTTAGCCCATCGAACAGCAGTTTCTCCCATCTGAACAGGCGCCTGTTCTACCAGCCTTTAAAACAGAAGATGCAAAACTTTATAAAAACTACCCACAGAAACTTTTCCTAATTCACAAATAAATCTCACATTCTTTGCTGAATAAAACAAGTTTATATATACATTTATTACATGACAGATATTAAAACTTTTTCTTGACGTACAATTTAATTGCGAAGAGATTCTGAAGCTGCAATCAATAAAGTCCAACTTCTGGAAAATATTTTTAGAAGATTTTAAAAAACAGGGTGGTGAAGAAGGCTTTTAGCATGCTTGCTTTCATTAGTCAGAGTACTGATTTTAGGAGTTGGGACATCTTGTTGCAGCTGTGCATGATGGCGGTGAGGCCACATCTGGAGTACTGCGTGCAGTTCTGGTCACCCTACTAGAATATGAGAGTGCAGAAAACAATTTACTAGGGTTGTACCTGGACAGGAAGGCTTGAGTTATAAGGAGAGGTTGGATAGGCTGGGACGTTTTTCTCTTCAGCGTAGAAGTCTGAGGGGGGTGACTTTATAGAGATCGATAAAATCATGAGTCATCGATTAGGAAGATAGCCGACAGATTTTTCCTATGATAGGGGACTCTAAAACCAGATGGCATAGATAAGTTGAGAGGGGAAAAGATGCAAAAGGGTCCTGAGGGGCAATTTTTTCCCCATATAGAGGGAGGTGAGTTTCTGGAATGGGCTGCCAGAGGAAGGGGTGATAGTGAGTACAATTTTGTCATTTAAGAAACATTTTGACAGGTACATGGATGGGATAAGTATGGAGGAATATGGACCAAACACAGGCTAATGGGACTAGTTTTAATTGTGAAAACTGGGTAGCATGGGCAAGTTAGGGCGAAGGGCCTGTTTCCATGCTGTAGACTTCTATGTCTCTCCGACTATATTCACCAAGAAACCATTGGTCGTGTCCTGATAAAAAAATTGTACTAGCAGTTAAGAACCATCAACTTTTCTAAGATAATTCAACTTATAACATTTCTGCACATGTACCATATTATCATCTTGATATGTTCAGGTACGGTCAATTTTGAGAAGAAATAAAAAGTTTTCATTTCTGTGACTCCGCTTTAAATCTTTCAGCTATGACAAGAATGTATGTGAAAGAAAATCTTTAATTTACAGCATCATCAGGTTTGAAGTTTGTTCAAATATAACAACGCACAATCGTCTGCGACTTCTAATCATTTTGTAAATTATACAACATTGAAAATGTATCTTTACAAAACATAGTACAATATTAAGCCGCATTAAGAACGATTTTGATTTTGTTAAAGGTTCTCTGTCAAGTACTATGTCCCCACCTCATTCAAAAAAAACCCTGGAATTCTTCTTTCTTACAAAGTACTATTCCATCACCAACCTCCTGTACCTCTCCAAAGTCTTAGGAAATGTTGCAGGCTCCAAAATCTGTACCCACTGCCTGCAATTCCACGTCAGAGTCTCTTCAATCTGGCTTTCAGTTCCATCTCAATATTGAAACGCCTTCGTTCAAAGTCTCATATGACATTCTATCCCTTACCATCCTTCTCAATGTACCTGCAACTTTTAAGATAGCTGATCATATACCATTGTTCTGAAAGAAGTCTCATCCAATGTATAGACAGATGACTGGATTTACTTGGCTTCATTCTTATTTATTCCACAGTTACAAGAAAGGCTATCCAGAATTGTCTCTTTTCCTATATCTGTACTATTTCCTCTGAACTCCCACAAAGGTCTATCTTGACCTCTTACTTCTCATTTGTATCCTACCCCTTGGAAATATCATCTGAGAACATCAGGTTCCTCCTGCATAATGACAACATTTAGCATTTTCACTACCAGCTCTTTGGATTCCTTCATTGTCTGTTTGTCACTTTGAAACTGCATTAGTCAATATTGGAAAACAGAACTTTAGTCCGACTAAATGTTGAGAAGATTGAATCCTGTCTTACTTCCTTCAAAAACTCAGTTTTTCATTTTAACTGCCTGAAGCCATGTCAAATCATTTGTAACCTTGATACCATGACCAGATTATGAATGACCAGCCACATATACCAAGACTGCCTACTTACTCACCATACCTTCACTAGACTGATACTGCTTCAGCTTATCTGCTACTGAAACCCTCACCAATGGCTTTACCTCTAGACTTGGTTATTCTACTGCCCGTTTGGCTGACCTTCCAGTTTCTATCATACATAAACCTGAGGTCATCAAAAACTTGGCATGCAGTACCTCAAGTCATTCCAAGTCTTATTCATCTATTACCTGTTAAAGAATCCACAGAAAAGAATACTTCCGTATTCTACAGTGAAATCACTTTTTAAAATGCCAAATTTGAGATTAATTCTGCTTTGATCATGCTTACCTCATCATAAGATTTAAGGCTTCATGTTCAACAACCATTGACTGTTGATCTCTAGTTAATATTGTTTCCATTGCTGCAACTATATTTTGAACCTAACAGAAAAGCAAAACTTGATTATTTTGGTGACTCATCAACACAAGCTTAAAATAAATCTAAGAAAGTAGAAAGGTTAGGTTAAAGTTGTGCTGTCATTTTAAAGAATCATATTGAATAAGTGGTTCAAAATGAATTTTGAAGTTGCATTTATACCACAAATTAGGTATTGAACCAACTTTGACCAATTGATCAACTCACTGGCCATAAATTGAAATATTTCAGGATTTTGCATGTTACTTAATTATGACATTTTCCAGTGGAAAAGTCACAATAATACTTTAGCATGCGATGTACTGAAGCCATTCTCTTCCTTAATCTTTCCATCTACATTTCTAAACATTTAAAAGTGAGACAGTGGAACATATTAATTAGTATTTAATATTATTAATATATTAGTACCATGACAGACTTCAGAAGATCTTTCCTAACAATAAAAATTAACATTAAAACTGAGAGTGATCTACGTTCTGGTTAAAAGAAGTTTGATAATGCGCATTTGTATTGCATTCAATTCACCCGCCAGCTGTGCTAAAGCATTCAGAATTTAAGAATTACTTTAAAAATCTTGTCACATATTAATAAATGTGGCAGCCAGTTTACAGAGATGAAATTCCAGTTATGTGTTTCAACTGGTGTTAGTGGAAAAAAAGCATTGGCCAGAATACAGGTGAACACACTGTTCTTCTTCAAACTATGTGATAGCTTTTATAAATATTCATTGCCACAAGCAAATAGAGCCATCGTTTAACACTTCATCCAAAAAAAAAGACAGTAATCTCTGACAATACAAGTCTTACAGCACTACACCAAATTGCCAAAGTAATATGTTTGAGTCCTAAAATTAAACTTCAATCTTCTGACTTGAAGGGAAGCATGTGACTCATTGAACTAAGCTCCCAACATGAATACCTGTTAAGTTTTTTATATTTATAGCCTTATAATTAGGTTAAACAATTTAACGCAAAAACAATGATAAATTTCACAAATTGGCCAATACAGCAGAAAAGATTTGTCAAGAACTTCCAGCAACACTACTTCCAACAGTGGTAGCAAAACTAATCAAGGACTGCATGTGAACTGGGAACACTAGATATGGAGGCAGGACAGAGAGGAGGGAAATAACAAATTACACAAAAGTATGAATAAGATTCCCCCTTGATGTATTACCATAGAGACTTGCAGAAATGTGGAAGAATCAAGCAACATAAATTCCACTTTTTCTCAATACTAATTACTTTCTACCAAAATTATACATGCAAACATGGGGACACAACTTTCTAACTTTTGTGCACAACATTACTTTGCACTTCAGTATTGTTAGATCATTTTCATGACAATGTGCAACTTCCCCTTCCTTGGAGGATAGTCAAATGAAGCTTAAGTTTAATAGTTATATATTTACTGCAGGCAACCTTTCACCAACGTTAACAAACTCAACTTCCAAGAAGCTCACTCAACCACTGCAAATCACAATTTTCATGTTTAATCTTGTTATTATTGAAATCTAAGCAATTTTACCCATTCTTTGGAAATTCTCTTTCTATAATTTCACAACTAATAGTTAAACATTTCAAAAGGAACCCTGCTCTAATTTGAGCAAAAGACTTCCTTCTACATCTTGACATAAAAGGTGGAGACTTTCTGAATTTGAAATATCTTGCCATGCATATTTAAAAAGGTAAAATGTCATATGCATAAAACATTAAGTCTGAATTATTAATGAAACTTGGTATGCATGGTATTATAATCTGCTTCAGACAGAGATTTGAACCATATTATCCATCGACTTTAAAGGCTAAACCAAATTTGAACAATCATGTCCAACTTGTGCCAGGGAAAATTAGTACCATTTAATATCCAGAGCACAAGAGATCGGATTACATGAGGTAAGCAATATCTGCTCATTTTCAGGAAACTCACCTCCTTCTCAATCACTTCGGTACAAAAATTCTGTTTTGAAATCACCCACAGTGCTCTTGTACACGTGTTCTTATCAGTTGATTTGATTGCAATATCACAGAGAGTCACAATCAATTGCTTGGCTTCATATTCTGCAAGTAAAACAAAGGCATTCTTAACTATATGGGAGGTCAACCCTAAAAGCTAATGACACAGTATGTGGAGACATAATAGTAAGATTCCCACAAGCCAGGGAATGGAGTACCTCAAACCAGGTTTTAAATAAGAGCAGTTAAGCATCTGGTCATCATATGCAGTATCTTTACGACAGCGAAACATTAGAAAATCAGGTATGATTAAAAGATGACCAACAACTAGTCTAAAGGATTAGATTTTTAAAAGGATTTTTCAAGTGAGGTGAAGAGGAAGAGAAGAGTAAAGCAGAGTATTCCAGAGTTTGAGACCTAGCCAACTGAAGGCACAGCCAATGGTGGAGCAATTAAAATTGGGAATTCATGAGGCCAAACTTAGAACAGCACAGGTATCACAGAGGGTTGTGTGGTTGGAGATTAGAGAGATAGGAAGGAACAGTGAATGGAGGAGTGTGAAAATAAGGACAAGAATTTTGAAAATCAAGACACTGTTGACGAGAAGGCAATATAGATCAGCAAGCAGAGTTGGGGTACTAGATGCAAACTAAGAAACTAACACAGTATCAGAGGATAGAATGTGGGAGACCAGACAGAAGTGTGTGGGAATAGTCAACACAAGATAACGAAGGGATGACTCAAAGTTGTGACAAGATAAGTGGAGTTATGAGCAAAGTTATGAAAGTAGAAACAAGCAATCTTCTTGAAGACTGGATGAGTTTGGAACCTCATCTTCAGCGTGAAGTGTAACGAAAGGGTTGCAAACAGGCTGGTATTTAAGAAACAGGGTGTGGAGAAACATCAAAATACTGTATTATAATAGAAAACTACATATTATTACACATTGGGAAGACTACGCTGAAGCGAATCTCTCTTATCCAGTATAGGATGTCAAATGAGCAGTCTGATAATTTAGCAACATTACAGGAATCAAGAGATGGTTATAAGATAGAACTGAGAAGCAGTATGAGAAAATTAATGATGTGGTTTTGAATAATGTTGCTCAGGCATGTAGATAAAAATGTGGGCGGGGTCCAGGAATTAATCTCTGGAGGGACACCAAAGGTAATGATGTGTGAGCATGAAGAGAAGCCATTGCAGGAGATATTCTTGTCTAAATGATCAGAGCCAGAGGGAAACCAACTGATGCACCCAACTCAACAATAAACAGACTGTAATGCAGGTCGAACCTGTCAGTGCTGGAGACAATTCAGTAAGAACGAGGAAGAAAAGGTGGCCTTTGTCAGTCATCTAAGACATCATTTGTGACTTTGATAAGATTTCTTCTGGCTCTGTAGGAGGAGTAGAAACCTAACTGAAAGGATTTAAACATGGAATAGCAGGAAAGATGAGCATCAATATGGCAGGTCACAGCTAGGGTAAATAGACAAGGTCTTTTCCCCAGGGTGGGGAGTCCAAAACTAGAAGGCAAAGGTTTAAAGTGAGAGGGGAAAGATTTAAAGGGACTTCTGGGGCAACTTTTTCACGCAGAGAGTGGTGCACATAAGGAATGAATTGCCAAGGAAGTGGTGGAGGTTGGTACAATTACAACATTTAAAAGGCATCTGGATGGGTATATGAACGGAAAGGGTTTAGAGGGATATGGACTAAATGCAGGCAAATGGGACAAGATTTATTTAAGATATCTGCTTGGCATTGACGAGTTGGACCAAAGGGTCTGTTTCCGTGTTGTACATCTTTATGACTCTATGACTTTGTAGAAAGGAAGGTTGGAGATTACCTCTGCCTTGCAAATTACGGTTCAAAAGTTCTTTTTATAAAAGAAAATGAGATGTAATGACAGCATATTTAAAGGAAAGGGACAATAAATCAAGAGAACAACAACAACAGTATTGGCTAACATGGGACCAGAAGAAAAAATGGAATGGTCAGACATTCAGTGCGTATAGAAATGTGGGAACAAAAATGGGTTTGTGGACCATGAGTGTAGAGGGGCAGGAAGAGAGACTGGATAGAAACTAGAGAAAATGTGTGTTAAGGTCTAGACTGACGGAGGTATTAGAAAAAATTTGGCCAGCTTGTTCCATGGAAGCAAACAACATGACAAAGTCAGTTTATCAGATGGTTTACTTTTCTGTATTTTTAAAGTGAGAATTGCTGATTAACAAAAGACAAGTCGAAGTTATTCATCTTACACTTACTAGGGCAAATTTACAAGGAAAACCAATATTTACACTTCTGAAGAGATGAATGATCAATCGTTGGGAAGTGGATTCTGCTTGGTAGAGGCATTACCATGGAGAATGCACCAGTAATGATGATACATAATAAACTACCAGGCTTGTTTAAATGTTAAACAAGCAAGCTGACTCCAACTGATCAATGTATTGTCCTGAGAAACTCAGAGGTTTACAGGGAGAAGGCAGAAGAATTGCGTTGAGCAACCCATCAGCTATGATCCAATATTAGAGCTGACTCAATAGGTTAAAGGGCCTAATTCTGCCCCTATATCTTATGTTCTTATGGGATTACTGTCATGAACTTTGAATTGCTGTCACCCATTTTTGGAGTTGAAACAAATGCAGTGCATGCGTGTGTTTGTCCTGTCTGTAAAGAACAGGGCCTTGTGTACTAATAGATAGTTTCCAGTACACACAGGTGCACCACATTGCAAGCTCAACTGACAATCCTAAATTGATTCACCGATTGGACAACCACATATAATGATAGAAACTGCTGTGAATTTTGCAAGTATGGGCTGATTGTACTTTGTTTGTTGTGAACAACCAAAGGGATATGCTGTTTGATACATCCCAAAGACTGGTGGATTGTACAGCCTACATATATCTGGTATCACATCAGCATTGAAATTCATATACCATGATAGTAATGCGTGACAGGCAAAATACTTTTTAGCCTAGTGGCTGTATGCTATTGATGGTGAACGCCACACGCCACACGTGTTGCTACTGCAAAGGAGTGGTATCAAACAGCTAGTTTCACCTGTTGCTCAAACTTTTGCAATATCTTGCCCTTCATCTTAGTTAGGCTGGGTAGACTTAGACAGACTTTCAGCACACAAAATGACTGCCTTAGGATTGTTCATGACTTTACATATGGATGTAGTTAGTAGGAACTAAAATTGTAAATTAATAGGAACTAATATTTGGCCTCTTGAACCTACTCAGTTATTAAATAAGAGCACGGCAGATAGGTCTGTATTTTGAATGTCATCCACCCCCGATAATCTTTGATTCCCTTACATAACAAAAATCTACCTCTGCCCCAAAGATATTTATTGAACTTGTTTCTCTCATCTTCTGAGGCAGACATCCAAAACTGCACAACATGCAAAGGAAAATAAAAAAATTCACATTTTTGTCCCCTTCATTTTAAAACTAACCCAAGTACTGGACTGACCTACGAGTGGAAACATCACTTCCACATCCACCTTTTAAAGACCATTCAGCATCTTGCATATTTCAAATCTTGTGTATAAGTGGAAATTAGTCTAGTTTATACAGCTTATCCTAATAAGACTCATGCCTTTGCATCACCCCCAATTTATTCACAGCCTTCCTTCAAAAAGGAAACAAAGACCATATACTTTAATATATGCTTTCACCAATAGCAATCTTACTTTTGTTTCAATTCCATTCATAATAAAGGATAGCATCCCATTAGACTTTTTGATTATATGGAACTGCATACTAACTTGTTGCGAATCATGTACTCGAGCACCTCGGAATCCTGCAGTAGTCTCCATTTCAACCACTACTTGGCTTCTCAATTCTTCTTACCAAAGTGAGCAACTTCACATTTTCCCACATATTTCCCACTCCGACATATTTTTTGCCACTTGCTCAATATATCTATATGTAGCCGCAACCTCCTTATGTCCTTTTCACAACATACTTCCCTTGTTACCCAGGTAGAATCTGCAAATGTAGTTACAACACCTTCATTCCCCTCATCTAAATTATCATGTTAATTGTAAAAAGTTGAGACCCAGCACAGATGCTTGCTATTTTTCTTGTCTCTCTGAACACAGGATTAGTGCCAGGGAATTGGAGGATTAAAAATGCAACATGGTTGTTAAAGGAAGGGCCAAAAGATAAATCAGGAAACCACAGACCTGCCAGCTTGACATCAAATGGGAAAACTGATGGAGGCCATAACACATGATAAGGTTTATGAGATACTGGGACAAAAATAAGTTGATACTACACAGTCAACATGGCTTTGTCAAAATCGGGTCATAGCTCACAAATCTGAATGAGTTCTTTGACAAGGTGACACAGGCTGTGGATGTTTCATATTTGATCTCTTGGAAAGCATTTGATACAGTAGATCATGGCAGGGTGGTTAAGCAAATTAGAAATGTTTGTGATTGATGGGTCCTGGGCAACATGGATTAGAAGTTGGCTAAAAGGTAGGAAACAGTGAATAGGTATAGATGTGCATTTCTCAGATTGGAAACAAGATGAAATTGGTGTTGTGATCTTGTTTTTTCTGATTAATATAAAATGATAGAGATGGGTGTTGAGGGCAAAATCTCTACAGGTGCAGATGATACTAAGCTAGGAAGAGTATTGAATTGTGAAGATGACACTGAGCGACTTCAGGGGGACAACGACAAATTGCACAAATGGGCAGATAAATTTCAATGCGAAGAAATGTGAGGCAATGCATTTTGGTAAAAGCAGCATGGAGAAAATACATGCTCAATGGTACAACTTTGAGGGGAGTACAGGAGCAGAGGGTCCTGAGGGTTCACATGCATTATTCTCTGAAGATGGCTGGGCAAGTTGAAACAGTTAAGACGACTTGTAGGATCTTTGAGTTTTAAAAATAGAGGCATAGAGTATAAAAGCAAGGAAGTGATGCTACACCTCTAAAATCAGTGGTCAGACCATATTTGGCGTAATGTGTTCAGTTCCGGGCACCTTTTTTTAAAGGAAGGACGTTACTGCTCTCTCTCGGGGCCTACGGAGATTTACTAGAATGCTACCAGGATTTTAGATACAAGGAAAGATTTTAAAAATGGGCTTATTCTCATTGCAGCAGAGAAGATTAAGAGCTGGTCTTATTGAGATGTTGAAAATTATGAACAATTTTGACAGAGTAAACAGGGCTGTCCTGTTTCCACTAGTTGGTATGTGAGTAACTAGGGATCACGATTTCAAGATTGTCAGCAACAGAATTAGGAATGAGAGGAGAAACTTCTTTACTCGACTGTTAAGATTTGGAACGTACTACTCTGGGAGAGTGTTGGAGGCATATTCCATAGGAGGTTTCAAAGGAGCCTGGATATATATTTGAAGGTGATGAATTTAGAGGGCTACGCAGAGATAGGGCTGAAGAATGGGACTAGCTGGGTAGCTCTTTCAGGAGACGGTACAGAGACTGTGGGTTGAATGACTTCCTTCTGTACAGTAAAATTGTATGATTCTATTTATGCATACTAGTTTTATGCCAGCCAATTAATCAATGTTACCCTCCATGCCACAAGCTTTTAGTTTCTTCAATAACATTTGATGTAGCACTTTATTGAACACATTTTGAAAATCCATGTATTGCACGTTTATGCTTCCCCATTATATACAGTACTTGCAACTCCTTCAAAGAGCTCATGTGACCTGATCAAGATATTTATTATCCCACATGATGACTTTCACGTCCCTGTTCCAGCAATAAGCTTGTACAATAAACAAATGGTATGGGACCTCTTTACAAGGCTGTGAGAACGGAGCCAAAAGGAGTCCCAAAGTGTACGCTGACCACTGAAAGCAGGATTGCAGTTACAATATGAGAGAACTCCTAGCTGATTCCTCAATGCGCTAATTAAAAAAGCTTATTTGACTGAATTGGAGCACAGCATAGAGCCCATTAAGACATGTAAGGAAACTCTGACTATATTTTAATCCACAGTAAATGTATCTACACATAACAAATACGAAAGGAATAGAATGTTCAGCATAATTCCACCAAGGACATTTCTTATGGCATCCAACAAAGATGTTTGCAAGAGTAGGGCTTAGTGGGGACCGTACAGCAGCTCCAGCTATATAGGGTAATAGAGGTGTACAGCATGGAAACAGACCCTTCTGTCCAACTCGTCCATGCCGACTAGATATCCTAAACTATTCTGGGCCCATTTGTCAGCTGTTGGCCCACATCCCGCTCAATGTCCAACGCTCCCGGGAAAATAGCCCCAGCCCATTCAGCCTCTCCCTGCAGCTCAAACCCTCCAACCCTGGCAACATCCATGTAAATCTTTTCTGAACCCTCTCAAGTTTCACAACATCTTTCCTATGGCATGGAGACCAGAATTGAATGCGCTATCCCAAAAGCAGCCTAACCAATGTCCTGTACAGCCACAACTTGGCCTCCCAACTCCTGTACTCAAAGCACTTACCAATAAAGCCAAGCATGCCAAACACCTTCTTCAATATCTTGTCTACCAGCAACTTCACTTTCAAGGAACTATGAACCTGCACTCCAAGGTCTAGGCATATGGTGTCATTAAAACTGAACTCAAATGCCAGGAGTTTTTGAGTTCATAAGTTCACTGAATACTGACTAGGCAATGATGGTGAGTCTAGATTGCTATGATATAATGCTACAGTGTAGTGTATAGGGCTTCCTTGAGTGGCACATTGATGAATGAGCTAGCAATGTCAAATGAGCACAGGGCAATCGATATGCAAGGGTGATCACAAACGTGAAGAAATCCTTTGCCACCGCAAGCCAAAAACTTGCTCAAAATTGGTAGTAGTAATTCACCCAACCATTTGGCAAGTTCATATTGTGCAGAACTGGTCACAGATAACACAGGGTGAAAAGA